TCGCCAGTAATAAGGCATTAATGCATTATTGATTACTTCAACGTAATAAAATGTTAAATATTTAGTAGGTACCTAATAAATGAATTATTTAAGTTTATATTATAGAGCGCTAAAAAAAGTATAGGAAATGTGTATGTAGTACCTATTGGGTGTCCGTTGGTAAAAATGTAGAGAGAGAAGAGGGCAAAATAAAAAAGTTCTTAAATGTAATAGCTAAATAAAGGTTTAATATTATTCCAATGTTCATTTCAAAACCTAATAATGATGTAGAAAAACATTTTATTTTATGATGTCTAGGTAATAAGGTAAATATCAGGATAGTATTTATTAAATAAGTTCAAATTATTTTTCCCAGAGAGGGGCAGTGCACCGTCGTTTAGTATATCAAATATTTATTTCTGGCGGTATATCGACTTTAATAGTTGTAGGTATGAGTTATACAATAGAAATTTAAAATGTTCAAATGTGTAGCAAAATTATTATAATTAGGAATGACTAATGGAGTCTTAAACAAGTTATTAATTATTAATTATTAAATAAATGCGTTGATTTTAGACAATTTCACAATGTTGTTTTTAAATTATATTTTCTGTGAGCATTTTTGGAAACTAGAAAGAATGTTACACATTGTTCATATAAATTTATGTTAACTGAAATATTACTACATTTTAAGAAAAATTATCTACAAGACAAAATTACATACTAATTTTCTTTCAATTTCTTATCATATTATGAGTTGGATCAAAATCAAATTGAAATGTTTACTCAATGCTAAGTTGCATTAAGTTTAAAGTATATTAAGCAATCTAAATAGATATAGGTATATAACTTTATTACATCCAATTTCAAATTAGATTATTAAGGTATATATTATATACATAATATATTTTATCTACGGAGAAATGAAAACATTTTCAACGTTTTCAAACAACCATTATATTATACCTTATTTAATAACCACTTGGTAATAAAAGACTTTATCCCAATTTAAAATATAACGAACTCGGGACGAACGTAGAGTTAAATAATTCAATATTCGGCGGGAATTTGATTACAAAAAAATCGTCTGAATAACAGAAATGCTTATTTCTAGCGGCGTATTGACAATGTGAGGATTTACATTTTTAAGCTACAACTTACAGAGGTGACTTAAAAAGTCCATTTAAGATAATGAAAAGCTTGAAACACTATACAGGCACGACGAATTCTATTTTAAATATATATAGCTGGTTTCGTATATTTAAGTTAACATATTTACAGGCTTAAAACTTTATTATGACCGAAAAAATGATTATAGTCGAGAAATGTAATATATAGTAAACAATAATAAATTGTGTCCAATGGTCGAGGGTGACTCGACCGTGAATACCTCTACTATGTACCTATACTCATAATAGTCTATAGGTACTCAGTGGCGAGAGATAACTGAATCAAATTAAATAATATATGTACACATAATACAGGATGGTTTTTGAATAGTCCAAAGTGTTGCGATATTTGATATATATTTTTATTTAAAATGTTCGTAAAAAACTCTGGCTATAAAAAAAATTTTCTGAAAAATTTGAGACTTCTTCCCGAATTAAAGTGACGGCTAAATATTTAGATTAAAATTATAAAAAAAAAACCTTTTTTAACTGTTTACTTGGACTGAGTTGGACACAGCGGAGTGGTTTGTTTTTTAACAGCGAGCCAGACAATCACCCTGTACATAATATTACATACGCCTGGAATTATTAAAGTCTGCTGATAGAGTGGCAGAGTGCGGAACGTCGACCGGAACCGTCCCACGGGGACGAATAAAAACGAACAAATGCAGAACGCTACCGGTGATGTTTTTAATTAGAGAAACGGCGGCGGCGCGCACATAATTCGGAGCCGGGAAAAAAGTCGGAGAAGCGATGATGATGATGATAACCAACCGACACGATTCGTACAATGATTATCATAATAATATTCTAAATTATTATTATTATTATTATTGTTATTATGATTGGTGGAAATGTTTTTCGCGGTAAACACTCCCCCGGGGTGGCTTGTAAAAGTTTGCAACTGGTCGAGGGACACTGCTGATGTAGGTACTTACGTAGATAACTATATACACCTGCTCTGAACCGAGTCCGAGTGCACATAACTGTATAAAGTGTACCAGGTAGGTATACACTTAGTGTAGGTATACATTGGTCATTGACACACTGTTGAACACGGACCGTGACGAGGCGGAGGGAAAAGAAAACCCTGTCAAAGTAAGCGAATGTATTACGATAAAAAAATCAATAACTATTCTGAACAACAAAACGCGATTACCTATATTTTATACAAAACCTGCGCATATTAGTATAAACTATTTACCAGCGTTCTCGGAAAGTGATATAAAATGTAAATATATACATAGCTATAGGTCTACATTTTTCTGGAAACTCGTACCTAAGTAATTAATAATCAATATTATATATGAATTAAGCCACTATTTTTTTAGACGCATTTTTCAAATTTTGTGACAATTTCGGTTTTCAATAGAGGGGGAGGGGTAAGTTTTGAACAGCCCAAATGGGTAACATAAAATAAATATATTGTAACTATTAATTATTATCAATTTTGGCAATATTTTCTTAGTACTCAATTGTGGGTATAATATTTTTTCATAATATTATAAAAATAGGCATGTTGTGCCTTGTGCTCTAATAAAATATAATAAAGATTAATTGGGAATTACAATTTACAGGGCACCACCTTATCACTCTACTTTTAGGTTAGGTTGTGTACTTATCTAATACCCACCTTGCCACCCACAAATTACGTCACTGAGTGAAATTTGTGCTTAACCTAATGGATATTCCACGAAGGAATGATAATCATCCTTGGTCATGTATATATAATATATATGTTTATTGGTAAACACAACAAAATTAACAGACTAACAATTTATATTTTGCTAAATGCATATAATATATTTAATTATGAGAATTACTATTGAGTGGATTCACAATATTTATTACTTTGATGATGAATCAAAAACTGGAGAAGTGGAGACCACTGTCAGAGGAACCTTGAATTCAGTTTTAATTAAAAATTTAATGTAGGTACCATATAAGTACAGTTATTTGTTTTTGATTGAAGCCAAAAAAAACAATATCAATTTATTCAATTTTGTTAAAACTGGCTTTGCATAAAGATGTGCATATTTTGTTCATTTTATTTTCATTTTTCCCGACGCTTTTGAAAACGATTGCAACTTGACCTCTCAAAAGCACCAACTAGATTCTTTTGGCTACCAGAAAAGATTCTTAAGTTGAAAACTGTAGCATTATTTTAAATACTTACCCATTGTGTAACACACAAAAAATTAAAATTAAAAAAACACATCATTGTTAAATCAATACATTCATTGTTCCACTTAGAATCTAAAATCAGGGCGACTCTTAGGGGGGGGGGGGGCTCGCTGAGCCTCGCACTTGGAAGTCAACTTTTTTTTTTAAGTTTGAGGTATGAATTATATCAATTTGTAAAGACATTTATTTCTCGTCGATCACCAACGTTATCTAATTATTCACAACCGTGTCGATTGTTTATCAACTTATACAGCTACCTACTGAAAAGTTCCGTTCATTGGTCATTGGTCACACAAACGCAAATATCACTCACGGTGTGAAAGAGGGGAGCAGGGTGTCTCGTCAAAACGTCTAAAATGTCAAAAATAATCTGTGATATGAAAACTATAAATAAAATCATTGATTATAAATACTCAATAATAAAATTAAGCTGCTTGTCTGCCAAAGTGTTGCTAAGTCTGATTGACGAAATGAAAGTTTTTTCGATCGCGTATAGATATGTAGTTATTATTTTATTAAAATCATTTATTTAATTTTAATTATTTAAAGTGAGCACTCGTGAGAAGAAGAGCTGTTAAAAAATTAATTTTCACAACGTGGCTTTTTACACACATTTTTTTAAATGAATACATCTAATGACAGTGATAAATGATAATTTAGATAAAAATTTTGTGAGTGGTTATAGTTCCTCTCGTGGAAACAATATTACATACAGTAAATATTATAATTCCGAAAAATAAATCAACCTTTAGGCATTGAAAGTGGTAAGCGATTAATATAATATCATTATTTTTGGTGACAGAGACCAACCCAAAAACTATGCTGCATTATGAGAAGAAAATGCGTTCGGTTAGAAAGACACAGACTCAATTTGCGTGGTAAGTTGTTGTTATCCACAAATTGGTGGATACTGGATCTAAAGAAGCAGAAAAAAAATTATATTTTGAATATCTTCTGCCTATCAAACAATTGTTTCAATTAATGAAAGATTTCAACAAGTAGCTTACTACTTGAATAATTTTGTTTTTTTGTATGATAAGCATAAACTTAAGTCCATCAATGATGTAGAATTACTGAAACATTGTATGAATTTACAGATATTACTGATAGTTACTAATAGTGAGTATATAGATGGTATGGATTTGTTTAGTGAAATAAAAATATTTTGTCACACTTTAAATATATTAATGTTTTGAATGTCCTGCAGTCAATTTCCTTATATTTCTATATCTTTGAGAATTATGCTTATAATGCCAATAAAAGTTTTTTGAAATTTAAAATTATAAAAAAATATTTGCCTACAACAATAGTTCTAGAGATACTTTCTGAACATTTTCAGAAACAAAAGAAAGAAAAATTAATTTTGTTTAAATTTTTGTACTTTTATTCTTTTTTGTTTGTTTGTAAACATGAGAATAAATTTAAATGACTAATAATATAATAATTTATATAATTGAATAATAAAATGTATTATTTACTTTTACATTATTGTAAAATTAAAAAAATTTGATTAAAATAAAAATTGCATTTATATTAAAGTATTAACATAACCTAAGGTAAAGGGTGAAAACTAGGTGGACGTCGCAGTGATATTTTGCCCCAGACTTCATAAAACCTAAAAGCAGCCGTCTAAAATAATTGTGGTTTGATAACAAAATGTATATAATAATTTATTTATCAGTCCATGCAGTTTATTGTAACAACTTCACTTACAAAATTTGTATTAAAAATAATTGTATTGATAATTACACTTTAATTATTAGATTTTTTTAAATAAAATATTCATGTTGCCAAAGGATTTGCATGAATGGAAACATATTGTATTTTCACATCAGTCAATGGTTTAAAATTTTTTGAATTAACTGGAAGTTTTTCTAGTTCATCTAAAGCTTCAAATCCATCGATCACCCTATAATAAATAATAATATTAGATTAAAAATCATAGACCAATTTTTATTAAGAGTTGTATTACCTTCCAAAAACTGTATATTTTAAATCCAGATTGGGTTGAGCGGCATACGTCAAGAAAAATTGGCTACTATTAGTGTTAGGCCCATTATTAGCCATTGATAAAGTCCCTCGTTCTTTATGCTAAGATTTTAATAAAATATTATTAATTATTTTTTACTATTTTGTAATGATAACAAATAACTTAAAAATTAAAATATAATTACTTTCAAATTTTCTTTGAACTCATCTTCAAACTTTCGACCCCAAATTGATGAACCTCCTTTACCCGTATGTGTTGGATCACCAGTTTGTACAATGAATCCTTTTATGTTACGGTGAAACAAACACCCATTGTAATAGTCACTGGCACATAATGCCAAGAAGTTCTAATCACAAACAATAATTAAATTAATAATTTGAATATTATGAAGCATATAGACATAAAATATAATGTATACATATTGTAAAATTTACCTCTGCAGTTTTTGGACATTCTTCACAGAATACTTCAATTTTTATATCACCAACATCTGTGTGTAGAGTTACCGACTAAAAAGCAACAATTTCTGATTTCAAAATTATAAAATAAATCCAAGCAGTCTAGAATCTTTCCAGTTACTTTTATTAATGCATGATTTTAATGTACGTGATGTGCCCAGTACAATACTACAACTTATCTTTTAATATAATAAAACATAAAATATTTTAAGGAATTCAGAAGAAAAAGTGTATAGTATTAGTTTCTTTTTCAAGGTATTATTAATTCATATTTCAAAATTAGGCACTTAGTAATTTAATGTTAAAAAGTGATTAGTTGAAGAACTGAGTACCTATCTAAAACGATAAGTTATAAATTATAATACGATTATTATAATTAACATGTTAGTTGGAATTAGGGTGAATTTAACTAGAAATAATTTAAAAAACTCACAATGTGGCCTGTGATTATTGACTTACCATAGTTAGTAGAAAATGTATACAACTTCCTTTGCGACAGATTTTCACTAAATATAACAAATTTGAATAAGCATGAATTGAAATTTCATTAGCAGCAGTGGATCACAATTCACGGTTGGAGTCTGTATAGATAGAAATTAGAATAGAACCCTATTTCCATCAACTAATTCTAGTATTCTAATATCAGTAATATCACTATTGTAGTATTGTATATCCGAATTATTTACAATAACAAAGCAATAATCAGTTATCAAAATATTGTTCTTATCTCTGAAGTTTGCCGCTATTTGCTGATGGGACAAGCACATCATTGCCACATTCACGATCTTTAAAAACCTGTCAATAAAATATATCTAAACGGTTTTGATATTTTCAATATATTTATTATAATATTATTGAAGACTGAAAAACTTTCAACATAGCTAACACACAGTCAATAATATTGTCAATAATGAATATTGTGTGTAGGCCGTTTTACTGTTTTTTTCATACATATCGATTAAAAATATTTTAGCCTGCAGACTGCAGTCGTGTGTGGTTGTTAGTAACATACACACATAAGTGATTTTGTACACTTCAACAATTTATATTTTGTAACGATAACTGAGAATCGTGAACATAGTAGTTCCTCTCTGGACACTTATTGATCACATCATGGCTAGCGACTAAGTAACCGAGTCATCCAGTCAAGCGTAGTCAAATATAATAATATTACAATTATTATAATTAATCTAATTAATTCATACATACATTTCATCTATTCTGTGTGCAGATAACCCATTGGGAAAATGAGAACCATTGCTGTAAAGTCTGCTGAATGTTACTGCTAGCATATGTTATTCAGTCAACGTTTTTATAAAATATAAATAATTAGACACAAAAAGTTGTTTTATTGGTATACTAAAATCTGTAATAAGTAATACATATCAAGTATTTGGTTTTAAATATATAAGATGAATCCAACAAACAAGAATACTTAATATATCAATTAACATATAAAAATTAATAATATATATTTAATACTATAACATTGTTAAATATGAAATAAAATTTAAAAATATCAAAACGTATTGTAAAATAAGATACAGCTACAAGCGAAAAGAAGAAAAATCAAAATGGTTATAATATTAATAAAATGTTTAAGATAATATTTGGCACATAAAAGTAACATACAATAATAATCATCACAACATTGTTACAAGCACATTTAGCATTTTGATTAATACTCAAAATAGTGAATAAGCAAGCTATTATATTTTGGAAACAAATATTCAACAATTTTATTTGGACAATTCTGGATATTTTAAATAAATTTCCTTAATAATACAGATATCTTGGTCTTTAGTGCAAGAACTATCATCGACAAGAATTTCTTGAAGGCAATTATTTAAATCTGATAATTTATGTTTGCGGTCTAAATATTCTGTATTAAAAATCACATTCTTACAAAGTTCCAAGTATGAAGTACGAGCCTAGACATTATAAAACAAAACAGTTATAAATTATTGAATGACATAATATATTATGTAATTAAAAATGCAAAATTTGTTCAATTCATTACCATTTCATCGGATGGAATATTCAAAAATTGACGTATAATAATATCAACTAGAACTTCTATATCATTAACATAAAACAGTTTAGCAGTTTTTGAGTCAGCAAGGATGTCATTTAACAATTTTTCTACAGAGTTTTTTGGCTTTTTCTTCAATTTTAAAACTTGCACTGGATCTTCTATAAAGATTTATATTATATATAGTATATATGGTTAATGTTTATCTGTTATAATTAGAGAATTACTGAACTAACTTTCAGTGTTAAGTAAAATCAACAAATTTTCAGTCAATACTTTAGCATTATCTCTATGTGCCAGCCCTTTTAAAGTTATGTTTGATTCAATTTTGGAAAACTGAAGATTATAAGACAGCAATAAATTAATCATGCATTCAGTATTTTTTTCATCATTAGAAGATTTTAGATCATTGTCCTCTATATCACTTAGTATTTTGGTAACAAAGTCCACATTCATATATTCTGAAAAATCAAAAACAAAATCATTTATTGGATGCTTTATAGATGTATCATAATTAAATGTTTACCAAAGCAAGAAATTGGTAAAGTCTCTCCAACCGATAAAATTAGTGTTAGAAATTCAGCAAGAATGACTTGCTTGTTTAAATCTTCTTTGTTATTTTGTATATCTCTAAAAATAACATTTGATTTGAGTTTTTATCATTAATCAGTATACAAAATGTGTAGTAAATATCAAATAGAATGTTTTTTTTTTATTATTAGCCTTTAGTTTAACTATTACAGCTCAACAATTATTTGAACAAAATAATAAGATACAATTCTATAGAATACAAAAAATAGAATGTTTTAGATTCTTATTACAACACTGTGGGTGATATTAGAATATTGACCCAGTTAATGGGACTCATTGAAGTTGGGGCTCAAATATTTCCCTAATTTTCCACTATCACATTTTTGAACTTACCACCAATTCCTGTTGATTTTTCAAATAAAACAAAAATAATTTTTTATATATATAAATATAAATAAATATAAATTCTGTGCTATGGAAGACACTTGATGATAGCAATACAAAGACGATAAAACCAACAAAATCTCGTAAATCATAATAAATTAGAATTCGGGCACAATCGGATTGTGCCTTGAAATGCCATATTAATTTTTGTCAAAAAGTGGGGGAAATCTAGTATCGTTGATCAGGCCATCGGGGCACAACAAATTTGTGCTCGCCACCCAATGTCCATATATTATAGTATGTAAGTATTGTACACAAGTATTTGATAACATTTTTTTGTTTGATAATATTTTTAAATAATATACCAAATATATTATGATGGAAGAAACACCTACTCAATTTTAATTTAATATACTTTTTTCTTGTCTTTCAATTTTGTAGATCGGGAAAGTGGCCATGTGCCTCATAGCACGAACCGCCACTGTAAACACCAATATTATAATCTGTGAGTCTATAAATAAATCCATATATCTTCTACTACTAGACAAGCAATGAGTAAATAGAAAATATGGCAATTTTCATTAAGAATGCTTGTACTTTACTCGATTACTCATGTGCATGGTAGTACGGGGTAGTAGGGTGAGATATATATATATAGAGAGTATTTGTATTTTATTCTTCAAGACAGGTTACATCACAGCAATATGTTTGCATGCCACTCGTAATGTAGTTGTTATACACAGTTCTTGTCTAGTGGTATATGTTCTTTGACTAAATCTAACAATACATGATTGGTTCTACTGAATGCAAATGTGCTATGTTCCTGCGAGTCAGAAAAAGAAAACCAATAGTAAGCTGACACCTTCTTACAGAGCTATACAGGAACCCATTAAAAAAATTAAAACTAAATAGGTAGTTCAATATTAATATTGTAAATATTAAATTATTTACATAAAAAAGAGTAGGTACCTAGCTAATTCCATTGGCAGTATGGAATTAATTATAATTTCAACAACAACAAAATTGAGTTTGCATAGTTCAGAAAATATGTTAAGCAAATGTTTTTGAATCACCCATCGTAATTCCATTTGGTAATACTCCAATAAATTATTAATCGATGTAAACTGGTCCATTTTTAAAACATGATTTATGACCATAGGATCTGCATTTTTCTATAATAAAAAAAATTATTATTATTATTACAAAAGAGTATACACTTTTCTTTTTGAGTTTGTGATTGGCATAATGGTATAATTTAATTAGTTATTATTGATTCTAATTATGTTTCCCGTCATTCCAAATTAATGTTTAAAAATATACAGGATGTCCCGTGAGGATTTACCCAAAACCAGTTTTTAGTCCCCCTTTATGGCTAATGGGTATATCCTCACAGGAAATCCAGTATTATAAAGTAAAAATCCAAAAATGCTATTTTAAATCATTTTATATGCAGGTACCCAAATAGGCTTTACAAAATCAATACTTAAGTAGAATGTAGATTTTCAAATAAAATTTAAAAATATAATTTTTATTATCAGAGAGAGTTTCAACAAAGTTTACTACTTAATCTACTTTAAAATAACTGGTTAAAATAAAAAAAATAAATCCAGCATTAAAAAAAAAAGTTTGCTTTGATATAAATTATAAATGTGATAAAATTATCATAAATAAATGATTCCAAAAAAATTCTCAGTCGAAGTTATTAAATAAATAATTAAAAATTAAAAATAATTTTGTTTAATTTGCAACTGATGGGTATAATTGTATATTTAATTAAATAAATAAATAAATTGATTACCAAGATGCTCGTAAGTTCTACTAAACAGTCTTCAATTTGAACATGATCATCAAATATTTGCCATGAACGTTGTTGTGAATCTTCTTTGGCAGCGGTTAAGTATTCCAATAACTGTTGCATGCATTTTCCATCCTTAGTATTTTCCAAACATTCTACTGGTAATGTTGCACTTGTAGGCGGAAAAGTATCAATAATTTCACGTACACTATTGAGACTAGACTTTGCTGATTCATCAACTAGATTAGATAAATATTGAATCACAACAGAAACAGCTAGTTGAGAAAAATTATAAGACAATCCTGTATGATTTCTTACCTAAAACAGCAACAATTTTATATATTTATATAAGATCATTAACAATTGCTTAAAGAATTTTGATGTATAACAATATGACATATGTACAGCTTAAACATTAACTAACACCAATTACTAGAAAATATTAATCAAACAAAATGCCTTCTAAAAACTTAAAGTCGAAATTCATGGATTTGCATCTTCTTTGAGGGATGCTTGACACTAATATAACTTAAAAGTTCGAATATTTGTATTGATAAATATAAGTATTGATGTTTGTTTTTTTAACATAAAATATAAGATGGACTTAAAAAAATCTTATAGGTCTATGAGAGTTATTTTGTATTAATTCATATTATAGAGAAATAAATACCCAATATTATAATGTTTAACATTAAGTTCATACTTGCTGCACTACTTCATAAATATCTGGAATAGTTATGTCCTTTGATTTTTTTGAAACACTAGAACTATTTTTAGTTTCATTTAATGTCTGTTCATATGCCTCTGATTGATTACCCTGAAATCATAATACAAAGTTTGTGTTCACATATTCAATTATATACAATCGTATAACTGTAGGTACCCTCATTACTCAACTAATTAAATATCATACTATAAAGAAAATAGTAATATGAATAATAAAGTAATAGTAATACCTTATCAGCGGTTTTGCATTGTATTGGAGTATCTAGTGTATTATAGGAAGATTTTTGTTTAAATTTTTTTTGTCGTCTCAACAATGATTCATATAGCTTAAATTTGTCAGAGGAATTATCATTCACATCAAGTTTTTGTTGGACTGTCAAGAGACAATCGTCTAGGAATTTTAATACATGTGTATCTTTTACCTGATAACATTAAAATACTTAAATAAACATATAGGTAATTTACAATAATATAATTTACTTACATAAATTGTTTTGACATAATTATATGGTACATATCCTAAATCACCATTATGGTTGATAACTAAACACCAACTCTTTTTATCAGCAACATCCCGGTAAATGAAAAATTCATCATTCATTTTGAAGTCTAATGTTCTCTCTGATGAAGTATCTTTGTAATCGTACAATGCTTGAAGCATCTCATAATCTGGTCAATATATTAAGTTAATTTTTCTAATTTCTGATTTATGATGAATAATGATAATAATAAATTTAATTTTTAAACATATTAACTAATTATGAATTGCAATGATTTATTATTAACTATGAATTCAAATCACTCATGAATATTAGGTAACTATTGTTTTTTTACTATAACTTTTTAATTTTTGAAAAAAAAGATATACAATATACATATTATAATAAATATATTTCATATTGTAATTTGTATAAATAATTATTTGAATGTGCATTTTTAGCTTTTTAAACAGTTAGAATGACAATTATTAGGCAATAAAGTTTGAAATAAAACTCTAGGTCTTAAAAAACAAAAAATAAATTGCAAATGTTTTACTGTCCCTATAAAAAAATGTTACTATCTATGAAGATATTGAAAATATTTAAAAATAATTCTGTGTTGGCATTATAGCGACATGTAAATAATATTACTAAATTACCAAACACTAAAAAGATAAATGTAGGTACAAAAACATGATCAAAACGATATAATATTATGTAGACAAGTAAATCAAATCATTATCAAAACAGTACAATATATATTCAATATACAATATTCAAAATTAGTGTTGATTTATAATGTGGGAATAATATTTATTATTTATGATTTTGTCAATAGCTTACTGCTTTCAGATGTATCGTTCATATTTGTCCTCGAAGAAATATAATATTGTGGATTATAAAATTCTTATGGACTAGTTGATGACAGTTGGGCCCAGACAAAACGTTTATTTATAATAATAATAAAAAGTATAATATTTTATTTACTCGCACTGAACATTATTGTTTATAACATAATATTGAGTTGTATTAAGTACCTACTACCATTCACAGAACCATTTAGATAACCGAATAACCGATCGATTGCGAGTAATGAGAACTGAGTAATTTAAAAATGATTAAAACCTTAGATAAGATATTAGCTGATGATTGAAAAGTATTGTAATCTGCGGAAACATCGCGTTCGCAATAAACAACAATATGAAGATGACATGAGTATCAACTACTATTGAGTTGTTAAGTGAGAACAGACTACAGACCATTGAATTATATCATAACTATATAACAACAAAAAATTATAATATATAAATTATTACATAGTTCAATGGTACACTGGTACCGATTACAACAGAGCTGGTGGCCGGTGGAACTATGGAGCGCAGCTGCGGCGCACAATGCACATAGATAAGTGTAATCACTGAACAATAATCGAAGCGCAGCTCAACCAGGTTCACCAGCTCACAGGACGCTAGTCGCTAATTGTGACACTTATCGCTATACAGGACTATACAGGACACAATAAAAAAATAGGTCATCACCACGGACTGCCTACCGGAATGTCTCATTAAATTTCTATGAATGTTTGAAATTTGTGCGATATTCAACAGGAAATTAAAAATTTACCGTCGAATTATTTTCTTGTTATATTGTTATTCAAAAACGAATAACTGTATTTGATTTTTTCGTGGCTTCTTGTGAATAAATAAGTTGTCTGTAAACACTAACTTATAAACTACATATTAACATTGATTCATTAATATGTGATAAATTTGAATTTAAAGATAAATCATTTCATAGGTAGGAAAAAATATAGTGTTCTTTTTTCTTTTTTTCTTCTTTTTATTCTTCTTTTTTCATTTTTAAAAAAAATGTTCACTTTCATAAGTGACTTGAGTAACAGGGAGGGTTAAAATGTATACAATGAGCAAACAAAATAGCTTCAAAAATAATTAGGAAAACAATAATTCCAAAAACTATACTGAAAATATAAAGGGGAAAACAATATTTTTGTGTAGCAGTACACATACCTACACGAATACACGATCACATAATATCATAGCATCTAAACACATCTAGCTGCATGCATAGATTTGTTTGGGTTTATTACAGATACTATTTATATAAATAACAATGACAAATGGGACCAATAACAGTAAATATTATGTAACACGACGTATTTTTAGTTATTATTCAATTAACCACCATTAGGGATTGCTATGTTCGTCAGCCGCCTCCGTTCTACAGAATATATTATACAACTTTCAATAGGCTCAGCGTCAATGTGTATAACAACAATAATTATTTCTTGGTAATTACTAATTAGTCCTGCTGGCTGCTGGATTGCAGTCGAAATTTGTAACCCAGGCGTTTTATTGTAAAAATAAACACCCGAAGATATATTGTTTTAATTTTATTTGATGTCTATATTTATGTAATATTTAGTCATTTTAAATCCGATACTTTCTTATTAGACAATCAAAATGCAATATAAATGGATTAATAATATAATTCCATAGTTTTTAAAGTTTTTATACAAACAAACTTTTAACCCATTTACTCATTTTGTTGATAGAATCTAATATAAAATGACCGGACCACCAGGTCATAGTATGGTAAAATTTGCATTTCCAAACCGGCCACCTCCGACCCTGCTTGCGATGAGCTAAAAATAATAACCTGTAATTATGGGTAATATTGTACACTGCAGCAATGTACCTACTTTGCCTATACAATACGCCGGACCACGTGTACCTGACAATATATTATTTAATATTTATATTTGTATAATACTTCTCATCAGTATTTACAACAGTTTTTAACTAATTCTATAACGTAGATTGTGGGTATACATATTTTACAATAATTATATTATATTTAATTGTATGTTTATTATAATTTAGTTATGAACTTCAATAATATACATTGGTAGTTCTCATGACTCACTGTTAGATCCATAGACCTTATACTACTAGACAAGCAAATGCGTGTATGGAAATCATAGCAACATAGAAGGCGCTTTTTGATTACTCGATTACTCTTGCGAACGGTAGTGCGGGCTAGCAGGGCAAGAAATAAAGAAATGTAGATTATTGTATTTTTAGTAAAGCTCACATTACTGCAAAATTTTGCTACATCGCTCATAATGCTGTTGTTGTACACAGTCATTATATAAAGTAGTATAAGTTCCATGGTTAGATCCAGAAGAACTATATGAGCCAAAATGTTCTACGAGAAAGAGGTGATTCGATATTTAGAATTTTCGTTTACATTCATTCCAAATCATAAGTTAACAGTTTCATTTAACAACTTAATTGTCAACTTTCAATACCTAGACACCTAGTAAATTATATTATATTTACAAATTTAAAATCTACCCTGTAAGATAGTAGTTAGAACCTAACAAAATAAAGTTTTAAAGGAAAATTAAAGTTTGTTTCATGATACATTAGCTGATAGCCTATAATATTAATATAGTTTGATGTTTTGTGTCAAATAAAATATTCAGAATATGAAAATACCTACCGATATAAGTTTATTACTAAATTATAAAGTTAGGTACCTATCCTAATAACTAATAAGTAATAATGATATAAATAAATTATAGAATAAATTTTACTTAGAAATCGATGTTTAAGAGGATGCTACCCACGCGTCTGTTGTCTCCCTCTTACGACATACCAAATTTTCGTTCACTAGTTTGAATAGAGTCCCGTTAGTTTTGATATAAGATTGAATTTAAGTATTATAAAACTTTTAGGTAAGAACATTATTTATGCTTAAGCGTCGGCGGATTTCCGATATTTTCATTTTCAAGCAAGATACGAGTATGTGAAATAACACAAATCAAAAATTCTCATATCTCGCTTGAAAATTAAAATATACAAAAATCCACCAACGCTTAAGCATAGATAATGTTCTTACCTAAAACTTTTACAATAGGTCCATTCACTCTAATATCAAAACCCACAGCACACTATTGAAACTAGTGAACCAAAATTTTCTATGTCCAATATAAGTGTGAAGACAAAGACAACAAATGTATGGGTATTGGGTATAGCGTCCTTTTAATGCTGATCAGTGGCGCAATTGCACAACTTGTGAGGGGCTTCCACCCACAGAAATATGTTCGGTTTTTTTTACCAATACTAGGTACGTAGTAAGTAGTTGTAGATGTAATAACTAATATGTATACTTTTATCATTTGTATAGAAATTTACAATATATGTATAGTTGTAACGTATAAAGTATATTTAAATATTTAATATGAGTAAAATTTTTTTTCCAATATACATTATCTATTAATAAAAGGTATAAAATTGAATTTTTAACTTAGGAGGAACCTACACCCTCATGAAAACAGTAGATAGTTTATTATCAATAAGTAAAGAAAATGAATAAAAAAAAACATTCGATGTAAATTGCAAGTATCTATGGTTATCGGTTTTTGAATTACAACAAAATAAGAAAATCACTCCATGAGAAATCGAGTGAATATCTTCTAACTCTAATTAAAATTAAATTAAATTTATTTTTGATAAAGGTAGACAAACTTATAAGGAATTTTATATTAAATGTTCAAGTTTTAGATATAAAAAGAAATTTTTTATGAATTTCTAACTCAAAATAATTTTCAAATTTTTATGATTTTTATTAATTTTGTCAAAATTTGAACTTCGAACGCTCATAAAAATGTTTATGTAATTACACTCAACTTTTTAAAAAAATTTTTCTAACAAAAAATTATGAGGAAACTTGTATTATATTTTCAAGCTTTTTGACCGAACGAAAATATTTTTATCGACATTAATTTAAAAATACAAATACAAATCGTAAATTTCATATGCCTACAAATTGCTCAATATGAGTGTTCACATTTAAAAAATTGTATGATGCATATAAAATGCTAATGTTTAATATTCAGTGAACATTTCATTTATCTGAAGTATAATTTTTTTTAGAGTTACACTAAAAACCAAAGTCGATTTTGTTGAAAAACAATTTCGAGTGAAAATTCCTGCTGTTCCTTAATTTGTTTTTTATTTTTCCTGGTACTTTTGAAAATTATTGGAAATTTTAAATTTTGACCTCCCAAATTCATTAACTAGACTTTTTTCACTGAAAAGATATTGAAGTTGAAAATCGAAGCATTATTTCGACTACTCATCATGTACAGTTAAAAAAACCCAGGGGCGGCTCCAGAGCCTAGGTTAGGGGGGGGGGGCAAGTTATAATTAGTAAAGTAGTAAAGTAGTAAACTGCTTACTCAATCGACGATATTGGGCAAAGACGCAACGCGCGACTGTCTACTACATTATTTATAGAATTAGATTGTAACAATTCTTATCAAGATAATATTCTTACTTCTTAGTATTTCCGTAGTCCGTACGGAAATGTGTGCTATGCAATAATTCAACATTCATGTTTTGAACATAATAAAACAATAATATCATACCATAGTATATTTTATATTAATATAGTTTACGAGTATTTATAGCCTTATTGGTTGTTCGTAAGAATAGATAGCAACCAGCGAGTACATCGTATACACGGTCGTAGGCTCTATGGCTTATTATAGTCCATATTATGACAATATTATAATATGCATTTTTTGTTAACAATATAATTTTTTTATAAATACGGGCTTGGGGGGAGGGGCCGCGGTCCCTAGGCCCCCCCCCTGGAGCCGCCCCTGAAAAAACCACACATCATTGTAAAATCAATACATTCGCTCCACTCAGGATCTAAAACCAGAGAAGTCACTTAACTTTGTCTAGTAGTTGTCGCATATACTCTATAATTGAGTGAGTCGTAGTAATAGTCTGTAATGTATGTGTTAAATTTTAACTCAATGGTAGGTACCTACATTATTGAATGTGATGAAAAACGGTCCTGAGCGGAGACTGTCTTAGTCTAAACGTACCTAAAGGTACCTTAAAATCTGTACGGCAAGAAATGGCAAAATACGTTTTAATTTGCATTTATAGCTGGGTGATTTATCGTTATTACAACGACGATGATATCATATTGATCCTGCGCGAACCGACGATTAAATAAGTACACCTACTCGTTGTCATGGTGGCAGTGTTTCAAGGTCGCCGGTATTTTATTTGCCCTGCATATAATCCTATATTCGTATTCCAATACCTACTGTATACGAGATCATAAAAATACATTATATTATATAGATAATAGATAGATACCTATATTATTTGCATGAATATAAAAATACAATACTATCTACTAAGTATATGTTTCGATTGACATTTAGCTTTATTCCCTCAATCCCTCTAAGGACCACAGTATTTAAAATTTTACTCACAGGTTGCTATTGCATTTATTTAGCTATAGGTACTTCACAGACGTTGTTTGTCAACAATGTAATAGGGGAGAGCGGAGACATAATTGGAAAAAAATAAGATTATTCGTTGTAATGATTTTCAACTTACTACAAACCTTAATTTGATAAACTTATATACTTATACACTTGAACCCTCTGAATTCTATTTTACTTAAGAGGACGCTATACCCGCATGTGTCGTCTCTGTCTTACAAAGTAAAAACGAGGCAAATTTTATGTTCACAATAATACATTTTACTTTTTAATTTCTATAATCAGGGTAAATTTACCTCTTGTAAAATTTAAAGTCAAGAATATTACCTAGGGCACCTCGGAGGATTTTATTTATATTATTATTTTTATGTTAGTTGTAACTATTTTTAATTTGTACATTTTTAGTGCACTTTTTAAAACGAACATAACTTACTTAAAAATATTAATATCAATAAAATCGTAGATAATATTCTTGAATTAAAATTTTATGAGAGGTAAATTCACTCTAATTTTATAAATTACTGTGCACAATGAATTATTGCGAACGTAAAATTCGCCATTTTGTACGTTTGTAAGACAGGAAGAATGTGCCCATGTGCGTCCTCTTCTGAGTAGTGTTTCACTAGCTGAACTAGTATCTCTAGTAAAGTCTATTCTCTAGTAATCTAGTAAGGTATTCTAGACTTCCGATTAAAAAAATTACACAGGTTGAACAGTTGTTAAGCCCATTAACATAATGCGTATTTACGATGTTGTCGTTGCAATATTTATAAATTCACACAAACAATTTTAACCTGAAAGTTCATCAAGTTCACTTATTAATAACTCTCCAAAGAAAATAATACGTTTAATTTATTTCCAAAATAGGTTTCATTTTCTATTTGAAATAATATTATGCTGCTTGTATGTTTTAAGCTGTTATTTTTAACATACACTGACAAAGTAACGTAGTATAAAATAATGTTTAATATTTCATGCATGATTACACACATTTTTTACACTCTAGTTCTCAGTTTCTCGTCATCCACCTGTGTGGCTGTGTATCGTGTTACTTATGACAACGATGGTATGTTTTTATATTTGAAACTTTAAAAGGTAGGTATCTAGTTAAAAATATCAAAACCAGTATTTGCAAACAAAGAGATTAAGTACTAACATAATAATATATAGGGTACTGCTATACATTTCACGTGTTGGACAATATAATAACATTAATAACATTATAGATGCCATTTTATATTTTTCCAAATAATATAAATATACTTTATATTTATCAGATGTTAAAATTTTGAATTCAATCCATTGAAAGTATATAGTATTATCTAATAAGTATCATTTAATATATAGGCGCAGTGGTTAGCGCATAATATAGCCGAAAATAATGATTAACATTTCAGCCGAACGTTTTTCAGTTGAACATGTATATTAGTCGAATCCCGGAAAAAAAACCAAAATAAAAAAACCAAAATGATAATAATATAATCAGAGAATAATCACAAAATATAATAATATACAATCTATTGCTGTGTTATCAATATTATAACGAATAAAATTTATACATAAATTAATTATACATTCAAATATTATACAATTAATTATATTATATTTATTTTATCCAATTTTCAAAGCTGAGCAAGTTAGTCACTTTTTGGTGTTACACTTACCCAACTTTACAAGTATCAATTTTATGAGTGATATATAGACTATAATATAATAATAGAGATAATAATAATACAAAACACTATGTATGCTATTACATACATTTTAGTTTGAGAAATTCCCTGTAGATCATAGACCTATTACTCTATGCTGTAGATATACTATTGGTTTCGAAAATTAAAAATAACTCAACAATATAATCAGACAAGTCTGACAAATGACAAGTTAATCTGTCAAGATTTATAGTTGAAATTGGGGGAATATGAAGATCATATAAAAATACACTATTGATCATTGTGCTGACTGTGACTTTACTGTATTGTGCTATTGTGTTTTGTGTCTTGCAAATTGTTTTTTTTTAAGGTCAGGATTTAATATTTTAAAATATGGAAATTATTAAATCAAATAAGGACGCAGATAAGCTTTGTCACAAAGGTTATATGTACACCTTAAAATATGCCGGAAAACAATATTATACATGGAGATGTACAAATTGATGTACAATATCGATTATATTATCATTTTGGTTTTTTTTTCCGTATACCATATTAGTCGACATTATTTTTCTGATAGCTAAAATACCTTCCAGCCAAAATTGCAGTCATTATTTTCGACTAAAATACAGTTCCTCCAACATTATAATTTCACACAAACAGCTTAATCCAAGACGTGTAAACCACTGTATCTACTAAGTACTAAATAGAGTATAAGTTATATATGTATATAAGTTCTAACAAATAGCCAATAGAGAAATCGTCGGATGTCGACCTGTCGATTGCGATCGGCTGCTTGGCTACCCCTGCTATAGAGAAAACACATCTCCCATCGGTCGATAGGTTTGAGAGACGAATGGATCTCGCAGGAAAACATTTTTCGGATCATTTACCTTGTCATCACATTTAAGTGAACTGATTTATCGTGTACGCGCAAACTTAAATAGAATTACAAAATTGATACAACATACAAACTGTAGTAGTTAGTAAAGTTAAGCTTTCTAATGACAATGTTAATCGGACTTTGTTTTGACAGTTAATATACTTATTTGCTCTTAAGCTAAACGAGTATTGGTTCTCTTTCCCAATTCCCTAATTAATTAAAGAATTAGAAATCTTAATATTTTATACAGCCTTTAGATGTTTATCTGCTGAATATATAACAAAAATACAATGAAATAAAAAAATAGACAAAAATGTCAATTTCCGTGGGTCATTCAACATATTATTTAAACTAGCAGCAGTAGGTACCTGCTAAATATAATTTTAAGCAACTACTGCTATAAATTATAATCCATCATAGAAAAATATCAAAAGTCATTGATGTAATGATTATACCTATATTTAAAATTCAAAAGTAGAAATATTGATTTTATTGTTTAAAATTTTATTATAGAGGAATTTTAGTAATAAAATGTTTGAAAACAAAACAAATATCGTATTTTCCTTACCCATAAACTTGTAATCATACTCCTGCATAAAACATCATATTATAAGCTGGACAATAAAATTAGTCCCCGCAAAAAAACGGAGTATGAAGAGTGAAGACAATTATTGACCCCAGTTATAATTGTATACACTGGTAATTGGTCCTCGGTTTAAAAATTAAATACGAAATATTTTATAGTATACAGCGTTCTTATATGTAATATAATTCAAATAATAATTAGGAAAAATAAATATTCAATGTTTAATACAATATTAACACTATAACTATACGTATTATTACTATTCCCGTGACACCGAACATAGTAAAAAGAATTAAAAAGTTAAGCACAAAATATTTGTTTTTCTTAGCATAATTAAAAATTAAATTTAATATGATTCAAATAAAAATTAGAAAAAATAAATATAAAAATGTCCATCGATGTAAAAACATAGATTTAAGATTTTCTATGATAATAATATTTCTTGTACAAAATATTTATTGTTCAACTAAAGAAGTTACTTTATGTCTTTATACTAATGATACTTTTAAGACTAACTTACAGAAATATACAAGTACTAAGTCTACGCTTATACACTTTTAACTTGTAAGTTATAATAATACGTGATAAGGCATTCAAAAACCTGATAAAATGTTTGAGTAAATGATTAGAACACGGATCCGAACTTTCTTTTCTGCGAAGATCCGTGATTCGGATATATTATCGGTACACAATAAAACGTATCGTTATCACGAGTGACGGACGATTTTGAGAACCAATTGTTCGGAGTGACGTCAAAGGCCTGGTAGCGTTATCTCTCGATGTCCAATCAAACGTGGATATCACATCAACACACACACACGCACACACACACTCACATACCCATACATACCCACTCGTACACACTCGCACACGCATCCATTCCCATACATACGCGAGTGTTCAGCGTAGCGCGCGCGCGCACGCACAAACCCATAGTACACACACACACACACACACACACACACACACACACACACACACACACACACACACACACACACGTTCACAGACGCGCAAATTGGCTTTTGAGCAGCTTACGTTTTGTGCGCTGCGAGCTTTTCGTCGTACTACCTTTGCAAGTGAGTCCGCTGTCCTGGTGTGACAGTTAACAATAATTCTCCGTCGCGTACCACGTTCCGTAATGTATTTTTCCTCCTAACGGTATACGTTGACTTGCCCACAGGGTGCTGTGGATATTATGTCATCCGACAATGCTGTCGGCGGTGGCCAGTCAAACCCAGAGATGGTCAGGGGACAAATATTTGACGTCGGTCCGAGGTACACAAATCTGTCGTACATCGGAGAGGGAGCTTACGGAATGGTCGTGTAAGTACAAGTCAGCAGTAACTAATTTTAAAGTGCCTGACAAAATCTTGGTAGCAAGCACCCGTCCTATCAATACCTGTTTTATGAAATATTTGAGTTGCACACATTTTTGTGGAAACCATCTCAATTATTAACAGGTTAAATATCTTTTCTAGGTGGTTAGATTTACATTTTACCTATCTGATTAATTCAGATTTAGATTTTACCTTAATATACTGTGAATATTGGATAAAACGTTTATTGGACGTTTATTTTCTTGATTATTATTCATTTATTTTATACTTATAAGTTATATTCATAGTAAAAAATAATTGGTTATTGACACAGTATTAAGTACAACTACCTATTTATAATCTATTTATCCCCCCTCTCAAAAAAATAACCAAGTTATTTTATTAAACTTTAAATATATTTAAGCGCTCTAATTAGTAGTTATTAATTAATTTTATTGATTTTTATTTCATTTAATAAATGTTTTTTTACTCTATAGGAACAGAGCTTTGGTATTTGATATTTTTATTTTAAATTTTCTTGTTATGTTCATAGAACTAAAAACAAACACAAACATAATTTATTTTAGGTATAGATAATTGATATTTAATCATTTCTAATTATTTATTTTAAGTTGTAGGTATAGCTAACCAATAGTAAGTTTAAGATAGGAAACTTTTGTCATTTAAAATCTTAACCTCATTTGAATATTACTGGGTAAAATAATGTATTGTATTAATTCAAAATTTTATTGATAAATCAACTACCTACGTTATTATGAAAAACAAAATTAATTACAAATAAAAACACGATAATTACAAATTATATTATAATTATAATCTAATACTATGATTTTAAAACTTGTATTAATATTTTATTCTAATAATAAACCATAAATATCAAGTAGTAACTCTAATAACTTTATGTATCTATCATATTGTAAAATATTAGCCTTCTAACCACCTGATTTTATTTTACATTGTTTTGTACAATATTTGGTCAAATCCATTCAATTTTATTCCCTGGGTATGTTTATAGGCATGTCAAACATGCAGCCTGCGACTAATGCTTTTATGACTGTGGATAGCAATATTAATATACAATCAATTGAAAAAATGTTTAAATAAAAGAAAATGTACAATTTTCATTTGGTGTCACAACTATGTTAATGTGATATATACATTATGTTACTTTTCTGTCTTATTTTTTGATAAACTGTAATTGAATAAGTACTGTTATTAATGAATAAAATAAAAAAATGTGTAAAATGTTTGTTTGTCGATAAATTGTGATTTGTTATTAAATATATTTGGTCCAGTTAATACTTTGAGTTAGACATGCCTGTCTTACAGGAACAAAATAATCTGGACATATGAATGCAAAAAATTATGATTTCTTAGATAGGTGCTTATATAAATAGCTTATTTTCACTAATTAATCTGAATATTTTAGATTTAAAAATAATTTAATATTACGTTTGTTCTAAAAAAAGAGTTCCAATTGTACAGTTTTTAAGTTTATAAACAATAAACAATCTTCTTGTTGCAAACATTTTCGTATAATTATTGATCAAAAATAATTTTGAATTCTTAGTTTTTATTTTGTACATTTTCTTTATATGAGATATAAGAATATACACTTAATATGCAAATATAATAATAAGGTTTAATATACCTATAGTTGTTATTTTACTATGAACATTATTTAAATTATTTAGTTAAACTTTATCACAGCAATTTCCAATCTTGTTTAGTTTATACCCTGCTAAAAATTAAAATAAATTGTTCCACGCCTCCAGTCTTCACCTTCTTATCTATGAATAATAAATTATTAATGTTACAATAAAATTGTAGTCAACTGCATCATTTATTTAAAAACAATTGAAGTTATTAGTAGACAATTAGATTTAGAAAGTAATTTGTATGACTAAAAGTAAAAACTTCTAAATAGGTACTTTTCAAAATAATGAGGAAAAAAAAATAACCATAATCAACTTTTAACAAAGTTATTTTTTTTTTTTGTAATTTAAATTGAATAACTGTACAGGTTTAAAATGTTCACCAAATATTTATAAAAACATTTTCTAGACATGATATTATTTTCAACATTGAACATAGTCCATGCTCAGAAACATTTTTGTATGAAATGATTTATCTTTAAATTATTAATTAACACATCCATTATGGTACTACTCAATGGTGATGTACCTACATTTGAAATCTATACAGCGAAGCCACTTCCCTGTTTTTTTTTTATTTATCATATTATATTTCATCCATTTAAGCTTACAAAACTTTTTACCATGATAATTAAGTTCATAAAATATTTAATTTCCAAGTTTCTGACTAAGTAGTTTGAAATGCTTAATTATTTATTTTTGTTGATCACTATATTTTTTTAAAACTTTTATTTTAAAACAATATACAATAAAAAACAATTATTTGTTAAATTATCAATACTTTGAAAGTATGTACAATTTTGTATGGATAATAAATATTTTCTTTGAATCAGATTACATTTTCAATTATATTCATAAACATTTTATACAAAAAGTATAAAATGATGAAATCACTTTCTTGTATCTGTTATAAATATGATGTTCTACCAACATAAAATACTTACCTGAGAAATTTCAAAGTTATGATGTAATGGAGGACTCACCATTATCTTTTAATATGCATTAGTTTTTTCAAACCGGAACCATATTTTCTCTAAGAAAATGTCATTAATTTAATACGGTAGTATCCACTTCAAGAATTGCTCGCTACATGCCGCTCAATAAAATAAAATTGAATTATAATTTATACATTCTAAAGTGTGAAAAAAATTTAAAAAACACATTTTTCTGTTCCTATTTTAATATTATATAATCAAGAAACAAAAAGGTTTCATTTATCAACATCAAAATAATATCATATAATTAATAAATATAATTTTAATTTTTCTTATATTATGCTCATCAATTAAATGGCTTATATAAATGGTATACATTTTTTAAATTGATTATTATCATTATGTAAATTAATATCTTTAATAAAAACATATGCAGTCCGCAAGTAGTTTCCAAAAATAATATCTACCCCTTTCCAAAATCCTTGCTAAGACCACTGATAATATACCATGTAATAACCATAATTCATCATTAAAAGATTAAGATACAAATTATGTATAATATAGCAATAATCATTTATTATGTAATAAATGCTTTCATTTGGTACCTAACTATAATATATATTATACATATATTTATGTTGTTTAATAAAGGTAGTGTTAAACAAATAAAAATAACATAATAAATTATATTATATTATTTTTTACTATTTTTTGTTATAAAAAACTAACTTTTCATATTGTAAGTTCATTTTGATGAAAAAAAAAATGAGTTTATTACTTTTTATGCAATTTTTTCTGGTATTTTTTTAACCTAACCTATATTGGTCCACCTATCTTCAAGGTAGCTGAGTGAGTTATGTTACTTATGTATGTTTATTAAATTGCCTAAACAGTTTTTGTTTAGTCTATAATGAGGTACCTAAAATAGATTAATAAAACCAAAGTCAATATCCAGTTATGTGTTTGCAAAAACATTCTAGTGCTTTTTTTGTCTCTGCCACCACAAAAGTTTATTGTTCAACTGTCAAGTCAACATTAGAAGATCAATAAATAAAAATCGAACAGTGATTGTTTTTCATATTATTTACCACTCTTAATGGAGTTCATTCTTAATCAAACATTTAAGGATCTCTGAGTATATAAATTTTAAAAATAAGTAAATAAACTGAATATTTCAAGTCAATAATGAATATTATTTTAGAAAGAATGTTGATGATAAGTTGTTCAATATTTAAAAGCCTGACATGGATTTGTTGTTTTCCTTTTTGAGATCTTAACAATTAAATTTATATTATTTATACTGTCACAGCAATAAATATTTGATAGTGTTTTGTATGATAATCTAAGTTTTTTCTGTTAAGAGGACCCAAACGCGTAACATAGCAAATTGTATGTTCTGGAAAATCAACTTAACTCTGTTATGATATATATTTTATCCAATTGAACTATTATCAAATTTAGAAATAAGAATATTATCTAGTGAACCTCATTGAGTTTTTTTATATTTTAATTTTAAAACAAGTTATGAGTATCTTAAAATTGTAAATTGTTTATGCATTTAAAAATACTGTGAGTCTCTTAACATTTTTTTTTTCAAATAAAATTGTAGTTAAACTGTTACTGAATTTCTGATGAGAATATCAAGATTAATTTGTATAGCTAATGTCCATTGTTAACTAAACATATGTTAATATATTATAATTAAATATTCAAAATTAATTTTACAGGTCGGCTTTTGACAATGAGACAAATTGCAAAGTAGCCATAAAAAAAATTTCACCATTTGAACATCAGACATATTGTCAACGGACATTGCGAGAAATTAAAATATTAACTAGATTTAAACACGAAAATGTTAGTATGAAAGTCATATTTATTATTAATTCTTTCTTAATATTTTATATTTTATATTATTTATAGATAATTGATATAAGAAATATCTTAAGAGCGGAAACTATTGAACAAATGAAAGATGTATACATTGTTCAATGCTTGATGGAGACTGATTTGTATAAGCTTTTAAAAACTCAGGTGAATTGAAATAATAAATATACATATATAGGTATACAGAAAGTAAAATTGTAGAATTTAAAAAAAATACACATCAATTCTTTTATTTTATAAAAGAAGATATTTTATGATTATTATAATAAGTAATCAAATTGATTATTTGTCTTGGTCATATTACAGAGACTGAGCAATGATCACATTTGTTATTTCCTTTATCAAATTCTTCGAGGGCTTAAATATATACATTCAGCAAATGTCCTTCACCGTGATCTCAAACCTAGTAATCTGCTTCTCAACACAACGTGTGATCTCAAAGTAATTACTGTTTATTTTAAATATTTAACTCTTCTATAAATATTTGTTATTATATCATATTTTCATGATCTTTAATGCATGGTTTAAAATTATTGTATTCAAAGATTTTTGAGATTATGTTTATAATTATTTGTTTTAGATATGTGATTTTGGCCTTGCAAGAGTTGCAGATCCTGATCATGATCACACTGGATTTCTTACAGAGTATGTAGCCACAAGGTGGTATCGTGCTCCCGAAATTATGTTGAATTCAAAAGTAAAGATTTATTTTAGAAAAAATGAAATAATGAAATAATGATTGAACTTTTAATTGTTTTACAGGGATATACAAAATCAATTGATATGTGGTCAGTTGGTTGTATTTTAGCTGAAATGCTTTCCAACAGACCAATATTTCCTGGTAAACATTACTTAGACCAGTTAAATCATATATTGGGAATACTTGGTTCACCAACTGCAGTCGATTTGTTATGTATTATTAATGATAAAGTATGTAATTACTAATTAACATCCAAATGTTATATAATTTTTAAATAATTGATGAAATTATGGTTTTTTTTTTTTTCATAGGCTCGTAGTTACTTACAGTCGTTGCCCTTTAAACCAAAAATAGCTTTTTCAAAACTTTATCCAACAGCTGATCCAAAAGCTTTGGACTTACTGGATAAAATGCTGACATTCAACCCTCATAATAGAATCACAGTTGAAGAGGCTCTGGCACATCCGTATCTTGAACAGTATTATGACCCTGCTGATGAGGTATGACATTTTTATTTACATATATTCTTTGTTTAAATAAATGGGTATTAATATACCAGTGACTAGGAGCAAAACCCCCAAGCTAAAATACAGTTTTTTTTTTCTGACGAGCTCACTGTACATAAAATAAAATAATCTAAATGTTACCTGTCCTGTATGTTTTTTATATGATTCGACATGTAGAAAGGTAAAAAAACATATGAATCACTAATATTGATACAAATCGCAATTGTAAAATTTGATAAGATAAGATCAACTTCTTAGGTTATTCTACATAGCCATCTACAATGGTATAGTAAAATTGTGGTTTACAGGGGAACACTTGTCTCCGTGACATATTTGTGGGTGGCCAAAGGTATCCCCCCCTCAGGTATACCAATAGTGCACATTTTTATTGATGAACTCCTATGTACTTAAAATTATTTATCAGTGTATAGTGGGGGAAGGGGTTACAGGGAGTTTAATTTTCTTCTATTCCTTCTTTTTAAAGTTTAAAAATATCAGTTATCAGTTAGGTGCTTTAAATTTTTAAAATACTTTTTGTTCTTCAATTTATTTTGACCTGTTTACTGTGGATACTCTAAATGTTGTCATGTAACTTGTTATTTAATACACTACAGTATGATTAGCATTGCTATTAAACTAATCGTTTTTAGTAGCGTCTCCTAAAAGTATTATTCCAAGTAACGTGCAAGTTGTTATGTTGTAGATTGATATTTTATTTTATCAATTTTTAATACTTTTTTTTTAAACCTCCAATTTTTTCTGGGTTGTAACCAGTATACATACAGCAAATGTGTTGATTTATATTTATTATCTTTGAATTATTTGTTGTTCTTATGTAAATTATTGTTATGAAAAATTATTTCATTATTTTTACCTTTTATAGCCTGTTGCAGAAGAACCATTTAGATTTGCTACAGAATTAGATGATCTACCCAGAGAAACTTTAAAACAAATGATCTTTGCTGAAACTGTGAATTTCAAACAAAATGTGTAGGCAAAGTATGGATACTATATGTTTTTAATTCCTTACAGTGCTTAAACTCTTATTCTTCTAAATTTTGAACTTATATTGCATTTAAATGTTTGATACATTTCTCGCTTCTTTAAAATTCTTTACAAATAAAATATAATCCTATCCTTAAGTCTAAAATATTCATCTTAGTATTAAGTATGACTTATTATGTAGTTAAATTGTATGTATTATTATTATTATAAATTTAATATTTAATTTATATTATTTGATTTTTATCAAATTTGTTGTTACATAATCAGATATTAGCCTTATAAAGTATTTGCCCCAAAGCATATTTTCCTTTTGAGTGTCAAAAATAAATATTGTTAGTTTTGAAATATTTAATAATACTAATGTGATCGTCTAAAGGCAATCACTGCATTATGATAAAAAAATATTTAGCTAGAATTTAAATAGTGTACATTTTTTTGTTCCCATCCGGCCATTTCCCCCATTCCCTGTCATTTGTGATAATATTCATGGTACTTACACAGTATATTTATTAATATTTTATTAGATGTCGTTTAGAAATTAAATCAATGTTAACATCACAGGATGTAAAATTGTGTTGTTAGCCTAATTAAGGAGTAAATAATTAAAACATATTGATATTACACACATTTTAAAGTTTAAAATTCAATATTTTCTTTAATTGTTTCACAAAAAAAAAAAAAATTAAAAATTGTTGTGCTATTAATACCGTAAGTGACCTATTTTTGAAAATAAAGTCGATTAAACATTTAATAAAGTTCAATTGAGTGATTACGTTCCTTTGAAACCAACTTGTAAATAATTTTTGCTATTGTCTAATATATAAGTATATTTATTTTTATTAATTCAATATATCTTCCAAGCTTAATACTTGACAGTTTTCACGTATCTATTAGTTTTGCTCATTGTAAACAATTTTGTTGTTATTTAACAATAACATTTATGGTATTTTTTAAGGAATATTCTTATAAAACTGCAATTTAATTTTGAAAATAAAACATTCAGTAAATTATGTGATAGTAAAATTATTCATTATAATATCACTGCTAAAACATACTATCAGTCAAGACATCAAAATTAAAATATCGTAATGTATATATATAATATACGGGAAGTTACAGAAAAAACTGACAGGTGTAATTTACTATGTAAAAAATTTTATTCTTATCAATTGTTTTTAATTTAGATATTATATGGAAATAATTGTTAATTGTTTAAAAAAAGATATAATATTGATCAGAACAAAATTGATTACAAGATTAATTATATTTATCATCTATTTCTGTTACACCCTGTATATATTTAGTGACCAAATTGTATTTTGACGATTCGAACTGATTATTTTAATGTGTTCTCAGAGGCCTATCATTTTATATATTTATTTATTACTATTATTAATTAAATGAAAATCTAGATAACTTTTGTTATATGTCTTAGAGCTCACAAATGCTGTTCAATTTATATTGTTAATATACAAATGAATGTTTAAAAACGGATTTTAAGCGTATTGCATATATTATTACTCTTTATTGTAATTTAAATATAAACTATTCTTATTTAATCTGTGTTTTGTACTATTCTATTGAACATGTTGTTTGTTTGATATAATTGTTTTACACATCTGGTTTCAAACCAAAATTAAATTAAATGATTAAGTACAAAGCTGGACAATTAAGAACAATTTTTAAGTATTAACTTACAAAAAATGTTTGTAGTATTTATTCATCTTAAGTAAAATAATTGTACACTTACAAATTATTGGTATAAATACTAAAATAATAATTATTTTTATTCCTATATTAATTCATTAATATAAATTATAAATCTTACAATATTTTGTACTTATTAGATAAATTACTTACCTATAGTATGGAAAATTAGATGACCTGGCAAAGTCTTTTGCAAAACTATTTCATTATCAGTCAAAAATAAAATAAATAATTTGAAGATTTTTGCATAATGTGTGTCTACTATATTTTTTACTTTTACTATATTCAATTTTATTAGACATAATAGCAATAAAAATAGTTTTAAGTAACCATAATTTTCATTTATATTAATCGTTTGTGTTTATATGTGAGTGGAAATATTTTACTTATTTTTCTGAGCACAAAATAATTGTTATTGACATACAAATTTACATTTATAATTAGCAACTAGGTAGTGAAAAAAATAAGAATTTACCTTTACACAAATAACCTTAATCAATTGAATTGGTTATGATATTATGTGCCCTTGTTTTTTAACTACATATTATACAATTATTGTGTTTACTTATTATGATTATGTAAATTATTAAAGTAATAATATCGCATTTACATTATTTATAATAATCATTATTCCATTAATTTTATTTATTGTTCGCTTTTTCAAACTTTATTGTTGTTATAAAATTGATACTTGAATGATTGTTAAGTAATGTATGGAGGAGTAAATATGTAATATATATTTTTGTCATTACATATTAACAGTATATTTGGCAATAATATTTTACCTATGTTTGTGAAATTTGTATTTATTTAATTAAATATACTGACGAATGACAATGTGTTATTAGTTCATAAATCATTAAATACCTGTAATATAATCTTATAGACATTGAGTAACTGTAATCAAGAGGATAATTACAGTAGTAGTGGTTTTTAAGTCAAGAAATTATATTTTAAATAGATAAAGCCATCATGTCAGTATCATTTTTTTGTATCAATTCTGTATTTTTTCGTTTGAAATATTTATAATGGTATGTATTAATAATTATCACATTAAATTTACTAAAAAAAGTTATACATTTGAAACATATTTCTGATATTTTAAAATAATAATTTTTTACAAGTGCCAGCCTTCTGGTTGGTAATAAGTAATAAACTTTCTAAATATTTAATAATACGAATAAAATTAGTTTTTTATATTAATAGTTTATAGTATCATAGATTTAATATACTAATAATAATATATTTAATCTATGATAGTAGGTATACACTTTAAATAGTACACAGCAAATATTAAATGCATAAATCAAAAGAACCTATCATAAAACTTTATTATACATTTATACATAATGATATCTTAACTGTATTATATTATTATAATCATTCAGTACTGTAGTGGCTGTAAAAAAAATATAATAATAGTTATACCCCAACAAATGTTCCAAACTTTTCTGATCATTACTGTCTTGACTTCTAATTACTGCTCATTTTTTTCTTTTTCTCTTTTCCACGTTGACTGCCAACGTCAGGTCTTTTAGTAGGTTGCTTTATAGGTGGCTGTGGTAGATTATCATCACATACCAAAAGCAGTTTATGTAGATTATTTTTTACTGTACTCAAACTTTTTTCAAACACATCATTTGCTGGAAGTGTTTCATCTAAAACCTCTGGTACTTCTGACTCCAATGCCATAGATTCCAACATTGCCCAATGAAAGTTTATTTTAGGGTTCTTAATCAGTGATGGATAATAATTAATGGGCATGTTTTCACATATTTTCATACCTATTGAGATTTGTTCATCTTTTAACGACTCGTAGTCTTTTGTAGGTTCTATTGGTTTTACTGGTTTCAAACATTCATGAAACGGCAAAAATATTACATGAAATCCTGATGGATGGTTTTGAGTACCAGTTTCGTTTATAATTTCAGCTTGAGGTATCAGGGCAGATAAATGAACTTTTCCTCCTTTCCGAATTTTTAAGAAGCACATTATACATTTATTTTTTTCCAAGCAGCATTCAAGCAGAGTATTAAACATACGTGTGCTACCTTCTACTACATCATTATTAGGGCGTAGGAAGATTGAAGTCTTAAAATGATACCATATCATAATATTCTCTTTATTTGTAAATCCAAGTAATCTAATACCAGGTTCTATAATACCACTTTTCAGAATTGTTATGTCTTCGTTTTTAAATATTATTTTTTCCCCTGCTGATACCAAATATTTAGCCTGATCAGATTTATACATTAATTCTTTAGTGTCTAACGTATATACTTGAGTCTTACAAGTCAAAGGTTTATTAGTCTTCTTGTCCAGCTTTACTTTTGATGGCATTTTTGATTTTGTATAAAATTTGTACAATGAAGTAGATATATAAAAGTTGTTATTGATAAAGAACTTTATTTTAGATACACTTCTACCATGTTTCAGTTTGTCATTGATTTCCGACATAATATCATCTATACTTTCTAACCCATTGATGGGTTTGGAGATACTTAAGTTCTTAAGAAGAGCTCCATAGAAAAGGTTCATATTAAATGTTGCACCAATAGGTATAAGCTTAAAATCAATATTATTTTTAATAACATCATCAATTCTTGTTCTTAGATGGAATTGTTTTTTAGTATCGCCTATTTCAGGTTGGTCATTGCATGACATGAGCATAATAGTACTACAGCTTTGATTTTCACTACATCTTTTTGTAAGATAGTTACCATACCATACCGCATCAGATAGTGGTGACAAAGGACACTGTCCAGTTTGAATAAGTTTACCAGTTAGTACATCATCTAGCTTTTTAATTAATTGAATGTTGGGTTTTATCGGTTCGGATAGCACATTAATATACTTCGGACATTTTTTATTTTCATCGTTTGTACCATATATCAATATACCTATTTTATCATTTCTGCTCTCCCTAATAAGTTTTAGAACTACTCTTTTGCATAGTTCAATACTTGTTGCAAAATAAGTTGTGTTATTATAAGTATTGAACATTGGTTTTGAAGCATCAATTAAAAACATAATATGTTGTTTTACAAACCATTTTTGTTTTTCTTCTTCGAAAGATTCACTCTCCCATACAATTGGAGAATCTGATAATGATACATCATCCATTTTATTAAGAAATGTAGTATCTAAAAACAAATAAAGTATAAGTATTAGATACAATATAAATTACAAACCTATATTTTAACTATAATAGAAGAAATGCCAATATCTTGTTTTTTGCAGTAAAAACATTAACAAATTTCCTTTCTTCCGTAAGGACCTTATAATAATGGTAGAATCAAGATTTTGAAAAAATACATTTATGGCCTAAAAATAAAGAATGTGCTTCAATGAATTCCTATGTTTTTAAATTTGTATAATTTAATTTTATATTTGCATTGCAATTATTTGCAAATCTAAAATTACATACATAGTCTTGAGCAACAGGAATGTTCTTTTAGTAAAAAATATAATCTCATACAAAAATTTGACATACTCAGCTATGACAGAGGTCTTCAAACTTATGTATTCAAGGTCAATATGAATTGTTCTAAAATAGATTATTTGTTTTAGTTAGCGGGCCAATTTTAATTGCCCAATAGGAGAGATCTGAAGTTTGGAGACTCCTGTGTCCTGCCCTATGGTAAACACAGCAAGTATACATTTAACGCTCATACACACACTTTTAAAACTCCATTTTTTTTTACATTTTTTAATATTAATACATTACAAATATATATATATAGTAGCTGCTACTAACAAGACATAACACTATAACAGTGCAATAACCAGCATTGTAACAATGATTATAGGAGAGATCTATAGTATTTAATAACTGTTTATTAACTATATTGGAACATATTGATACATTTGTTTATTTACCATAAGATTGGAACTACTATTTTTCAATTAAATAATTTTTGATCATATAAGAAATTTTTTATAAAAAATTCAACATTTCTGCGTCATATTGACTAAAATATAAGCCCAAGTTTTTTAATATAGATTAAACTAAAACAATGAGACATAATAATTTTCATATTCAATTGTTGGTCCAACCAACAATTATATAGCATGGATTATTATCTACTGATGTATAAATGTTTATACTGGGTTTGAAAAATAAATTCTCAATCTTTCTTCCAAATTTACAATAATCGTAATACCTGTAGTTCACAAGTATTAAATAGTAGAACTATACAGAATTTATAGTCTTTATGTCAAACTTCCACTCATTCCACTCTCTATTTAAAAATAATGATTTTGTTTACGTTAATGTAGTGAGGTTGACTATATTGTTGTAATAAAAAAACATAATGTAATAATAATTTTCTACGTTATGATACAGAACGCCAAAGATGGACAAGTTAATATTTTTTTTTAACTCAGTGCTAAGTAAAGATAATATGCATCAATGAGAAAAAGTTAAAAGTGAATACACTTTTTTGTGGTTTACTTTTTTTTTAAACACTGGCTTATTTTATACTAAACCAACCTATAACTAAAATATAGAGTGTAGTGTTTATAATTTTTACAGTGATATAGTGTATGTATTTCATTGAACATTTTCGTTTCTAACTTTAACGAACTAAAGCCCTGCCTCGAATACGACATACCTGTTTAGAATTTCAATACATCCATATCCAACAAATAAACCTAGACACTCTTGATCTTTTTTGACATACAAATAAACTGTTAATACAATTATTGAATCACCTATACAAAAGAAGAACACCTAGATATTAATAAAATAGAATAAATGATCGGCACTCGGCAGTCGGCACAGATTATACAGAAGTAATTTCATTTTATTATTATCATTTATCATGATATAAGTCAACTTTATTTGCAATTTACCGCCTTTTTATTTTGTTGCCGATGATAAAGTTTTTATTTTTAATCAGTGTAGCCAACACTTCAGCATGATCACTGGACACTGATCTGTTGAGTCCTGACCTCGTGGTTTTGACCGTATAATACGGTGTATTCTTGATCTCGATAGTGTCATAGATTAAATACCAGATACCTATACTTAAGTATACCTACTTTAATACTTACTTTATTTCTAATCTATGATAGTGTTGATCAGGGAGCTGCTAATAACTAATAAGCTAATGGGCTGAATGGCTAATTAGCTAATAGCTCTCTAGTGTTGACTGATCGCAACCCAGACTTCCTTTCTAACTTCCTTATTTCACTATTTCAGGCCTCAGGGTTAATGAGTCATAGGCATTAGGCACGGATTTCTACCACGATAGAATTGTCTTAATTTTTAGTCCGTGGACAATGTTCATAGATTTATGGAATATGCACCAGTGACTTAAACGGGGGGGGGGGGCGCTGAGGGCTCAGCAGTTCCAGAATAAAGAAGAAAATAATTATTTTTTGTGAGTGTCAGATGGGTTATGGGTACCTAGTAAAAGTAAACACAGATTTATTATACCCTAGGCACTAGCTGTATAATAAAATAATAATAAATAACATTATTTCATCATGGATCTATTAAAAATATCCCATATATGCCCATAGTAGTAAAGTGTAGGTCGCATGTGGCAGTGATGGCACTTATTTGCTCCCAGGTGGCATGTTCTCAGTAATCGTTCAATTAGTCCAGTTTTGAAAAAAAGTTTGATAAAAAGTCCCGATTAATTTTTATTATCTGACAAAAAGTCCGAAAGTATAAAATATTCTATTCTATTATCATTTTTATAATTATATTATTCATTATATAAAGGTATATGGTATATAGGTACTATAGTAAGGGTGCGGGGAAACTGGGGGCTCGCGAGCCTTTTTTTATCTGGCCCGACTCAGCCCGAACTACATTTTTAAATTAATGCTAATTAAAATGTAAATTTTGAATAACCCATTTTTTTGTTGCTTTCTATGCTTAGGCCCTCTAGATTTTAATTTAAAGCATGTATTAATTTTAATATTATAATAATTAATTATATTTATATTATATATTTTATTTAATTATATTAATAATGTTTTGTTGGATTTCGTCATTGACTAAGTACTCATAACAATTAATACATACATTTAATTAAAACTGAAAGACTATTCTATTACATTACCTACTATGTTATTTGTTAACTTAAATGAAGGTGGCTTTACAAATATTATAATTACATACACAAATTTAAAAAATAGAAAGATTGATCACTACAGTAATAATGATAATAATTACCTAATTAATAAAAACCTAGAGCATTTTTTTTATATTTTCAGACTTTTTGTTCGACAGTTAAATTTTGTTCGGGATTCCATATTCCCATATTGTTCTCTGATATTCCAGAACACGAGTACAAAATACAACACAATGATAATATGACACGATACATTTTATTTGCTTGACAGATGTCAAGATTATAATTTTGAATATTTTACATCCCACTTATCTTCGTACTACTACAGTACTACTAGATACAGTACAGTAATACACCTTCACACAATTATGAAAATTAAGGCTTAAGATATCTTAATTCTTATTTCGTGTGAACAACCATTATAGGCATTAGCCCAACGACCAAAGATAAGACTGTTCTATTATAGAATTATAATTATGGTGATTGGTGCGGTGGATTTGTAGTTGGAAAAAAAAATCCCCGGTTTAAAAATTAATTATAAAATAATATGACGGCCAAGATACATTTAATCAATACAAATTAATATTTTATAAGATCATTTTATGAGTTAAATTATTATGATATTATTAATTTATTTCTCAAGAAAAGAATACTGGGCCTCACAGAGTATTCTCGTGTGAAGGTCCGGGAGTTATATTATGTGGTATACAGGTACATATATATAATAATAATATCGCTTAAATTGATTACTATATAAAAATATACGAAATTAAATAGATTGTATGTTAAAAATTATAATAAAAAACGATTACCTACAGTCCTACACGTTCAAATATTGTGGTATGTTAAAAATTACTTATAAATATTAAGTACCTAAACAAAAAATAATACACATGGTGATTATATTCAAGGCTAGGCAATTTAACAATTTTTTTTAACTCATTAAGTTAATATAGAAAAATGTAATTCAAGTTTAAAGTTAAAAATGTACCTTTATTTTTTTTAAACTTGTTAAAGTTACAATTTAATTAGAAAACAAAAGTAACCTAATTTAGTTTTTTTTTTTTTTTAAATGTCGTTTATTTATGAAAATTTACAATCTATACAAAAATGGTACAATAAGCAAATGTGAATAATGATTAAAAGTGGCGATGAGGGGAGTACAATGAGTAGAAGTTTCACATTAGAAATTCCAACATGGAAGGTAATTTAGGGAGAAATAGCAATATACATGATTAATGATTTAATGTGCATTGAGAAGATTATAATATAAAATTAATGATTATACCTACCTACCTTTTTTAAAAGATAACAAATAACATACCAAACAATTCAATAAATATCTTACAATTTTTAAATAAATGTTCAAAAGTAAAACAATACAACCAAAAACTCAACTCTTCAACATTCATACTTCAATTGTTATAATAAAATCATGATAATTTACCAAATATTTCAAAATATAATACTTTTAACTTTTAGCCCATGGTCTCTATCCATTCTAGTAAATATTATGAACTACCCATAGATAATATATATAAATTATATATTATATATTATATTATACGCATGTCACATATACAACTTCATGAATATGTTTGAAATTATTACAAAAATTAGAAAATATAATAGAAGATGAACAACATGCAATGCAAAATTTACAGTTTAAAGTTTTGAGCTTATTAATAACACAGATAATCCTTTTCGTGCAATTTTTTTGTTACCTAGCTAGTGTCTTTCTAAAATAACGATATCTTGTACATAATATGTGTATTTGTATATTACTGAAGAATGATGGCTGTTGTTTGACAAAGTTTATTTATTGAAAGATATCGGAATTTTTGTAAAGTTAAAATATTTCATCATAAGATGATAAATGACACTTTAGAGCCTAGAATCTAGATAATTCATTTCCTAAAATCTAAGTTCAATTATTTTAATGATAATATAGATCTAATACCCAACTTTTAATACCATAATAAACTCTTTATTAACTACTAACTTTAATCCATTTAATATATTTTTTGTTTATAACACAGTTTTGTGAATTTTAAGCAGTGATTGAATTAGAAATAAACTAGAAGGGAATGCGAAAGTATAAAAAAATTTTTTTTTTTAATTTTTTTTAATTGAAATAAAACAATCATAATGTAGTTCAAAATTGTTTTACCAAATAAATGGTATTTTTGTAATGATTTTATTTAATCAAGATGGTGGTTGCTGTAATAATTGGAAACAAAAATTAAGAGTAAATCCTCAAGTATTACAAATGAACATTTGAAGTTCAAATTCTTATGAAATGTATATTTTACACAAAATAGTGGTTAAATTGCTGTTCAAAACTGTAGGAAACTCATAATTTTACCTACACAGGTACTTAAATGATCATTGTCTACACTCAATGGCAATTTCAATTCCTAGTTGGTTACCTATATAATATGCATATGGACCACCACACTACCACGATATTACAGGTTTAAATTATTTACAACAATGGGCCAAGTCATTGCTGTAATTCTATGAATGAAAAAAAAAATTTAATGGTAAGTAATAATATTAATAATGATTACCTAAGTAGAAATGACGAATGAGTTTACGAACATTACAAACGTGTATGGGGTATCTACTGAGTTAATTGTTATATTTTTATTTTATTAATGACGCGAATACCCCTATAACATTTTTGTCTATAATATATAGTTATATAATATTTTCTGTGAATATGCAATATAATAAGTAATAATTATTATTATAAATTATTATTTACTAATTATTATATTTAATATTTCAGAATTTTTTTTATAAAATGAATTATTACAAAATTGAATTTATTTCAAATCTGTGGCTTAAGAAAATAATTAACTTATGAAAATAGTTACTGAAAAACACGGGAAAAAAATAAAAATAAAAATTTAACTCGCCGAGTTAGAAGTTACTTCTGTAAAAAAGGAACTCTTTTAACTTGTTAAAAGTAACTTAACTTATTAACTCGTAAATGTCTTGTTATATTAGTCATAGCAGCGATTTATAATGTTATGAGCGATTGCTGATTTTACTAAGTTAGACACTAATTGTGCTGTTTTACATTAGGTATAGAACAAAGCTCTCTCAACCTTTTTTCTATAGTTTGGGATAGCCCCAAATGATAGATTGTCACGTATTAAGTACTTATTTTCTATATAATTTTAATGCTATTGTTATTTGTTTTAATTCAGGTATCTATTCAAACAGTGGCGGCGAGAACTTTTTCGACAGTGAGGCAAGAAAATGTTAGTTGCAACACGCACGACCCACCTTTTTATTTTGCACTGAGCCATGGGGGGGGGGGCTACGCCCCACACCCCCTATTATAATTCTATATCAAATTAGCCTTTCTAAAAATGAATCCAAGTTTCTGCTTGGGAGTTGAGACTGCAATAATAACGTTAATAACAGCAAATGAGCAAAACATTGTATTACTGACAGAATGTGAAAACAAGTCACTACTCACTAACACACAGTCGCGATTCATATTTATTAATACTAATCAGTTATTGGTCGTTTCTGGTTAACTGTGGAAAATACGTCTGAATGTCAGGTAAGCATTTGTTTTATTTATAAACCATGTTCATGTCTATACTCTATATGAATATGACTATTTATATATTTATTTATTTGATACGTTGTGTCACTCAATATTTTTCAGAACTGACTATCCACTATAGGTACCTACTGGCTACTCGGTACCCACCCACCACCCCTTTTAGCATTGCGCCGCCACTGTATTCAAAAATAAAAATCTATGAAAAAAGGTCTCTCTAAAATCAGTGGGTAGTTCGCGATCTACCAAATAATGTTCTTTTAGACCTCGGTGATTAATAGAACGTCGTGTAAAAAATGTTTTTAAAAGTGATTATGTATTTCAAAATTGTATGTAGCTATTAATTGCATAACATAAAATGATGTATTTTTAGTGAATTTAGGATTATTTTTGATTTGGGAACCACTAGTTCTGTTATCAAATATTGCTAGTCGATAACAGAACTTGCGTCTTATCAAAAATAGCAAATTATGCTGCCAACTTTATGCATGATCTATAATTATGTCGTAGATTAAAGTAAATAGTAGTATGAATTAGAAATTACCAAGAAGGACTTCGGTGTTTAGTATATGTTGGTAGTAATATATTTTAAACAATCAAATCATTTAAAACGTCAAACACTAACGTGTCACTCGAAAAATAAACAAGACAACTTCCTAGTTCCTCAGTAACTTTAGTACTTACTGTACTTGAAAGGTTTCCGTGTGGTAGGTGCACAATTTGTCCATAGATAAGAATTATACAATATTTTATCATTGTTCTTTGATATTATTCTATGTTATTGTTATTTGTTGTCTGTTGAATCCGATCGATGTATGACGGACGATACGAATATTTTTTTAAAAGTTCAATACTATTTATCAACCGCTTAAAAAAATAATGTATTCTTATAATTTCCAAGTGGGAAGGACCTAAGTTATTGGAAGCAGTCCTATTCACACACTTAAACTTAATGCCTACCAGATTTATAGTGTTTGTCATCTGTTAACTGATTCAGTTTGTTAATCGTTATAATTCGGTAAGTTATAAATATATTTTTTATATCAATTACAAGTAATCATTTTTACTATGGACACTGAACCCTGTTTGAAATTCTGTGTTTTTTTCAACATTGGAGTAGTATAATAGCTCATCAACTCGTTGTTCAATGCTCTAGTATTATAGATTGTGATAACGATATTTTTCACACTGTCCTATAGTTCTTGAAGAATAAGTTTTTCACCAAAAATTAACTTCTTAATTAAACATTTCTGAGATATTACCCCTAATTTAAGTAATATTTATTGACTAATTTGGGTTTAACTTTGAACAGACCCCTGAATTATTTTTGGTCAAAACTCAAAATAGTCCAAAAGCAAATACAATGTTAAAAGCATTATAATTAGATGATATATTTATATTTGAATTTTAGTTGGTATGCAGGATGACAAAACATCTCCTGAACCACCAGTGGAAAATAATTCAAAAGTTTTGAAAAACTCCATATCAATAAAACATTTTGTACCGAAAGTTGGATTATTGCATCACAGGGAATCTTTGCAATTGATACTATGTAAACCCAAATTAATGCCATTGAAATCTATGACATTGGAAAAATTACAAAAGATGCAATCCGAAGCAGAAAACAAATTGTCAAATAGATGATTAAATTAGTTTTAAAATGACTGTGGGAATATTTAGTGCTGAAGTTATATTTGCTTTTATTTTAACTACGGTGCTACTTAACCGTTATGGCAATTGGAAAACTCAAAATATTGTTGTTACAACAGCCGTGCTCATCGCTTGGTATTTTTCTCTTTTAATTATCTTCGTTCTTCCCATCGATATATCTTTGGTAAGTTCATAGATTATTATAAACATAATATATCATAGTGTTATACCTACATTTCATTAAAAAAATATTCATTCAATTTTGATTTCTATCACTTAATGAAAATATTAATCTGACTGAAAGGTTTATTTGTATACATTATTTACATAGGTTGTTAACATTTGAATAATTAATACATGATTATTATTCTGAATTCTAGGCAGCTTATCGTAAATGTGTTCAAGATGCGTATAACCATAACGATAATACTACAAATTCTAGTCATGAATTATCAGCCTGTAATAAACCCTGGAGTTATGTGCCAGAATCTACTTTACCAAAAATGTGGAGGGTTGTTTATTGGACTTCCCAATTTTTAACATGGTATGTAGTGGTGTAGCCCATAAGTTACAGTAAATTCTTTGTAGGTACACTGAACATTTCATAATTTAAACTCTTTGATGCTAAATAAAAATTGCTTGATAAACACATATAAAATATTTATTAGAAAATGTTATTACCAAAGAAATTATAATCAAACCCTTAAAATACTGTATATACCTATATATTTATTTGAAAATTAATCAAAAATATTTATACAATTAAACCAATACATTTTAACTGAAAAAAACATATTTAATATAATATTATTGATAAAAATTTGACTTAAAGAGAACTTGCATAAAATATTTATTGTGATCACATAATATTCATGTAACGATATTAATCTAATCATTTTTTTTATATCCACATTTTTAAAAATAGGTCAAGCTTTACCCATACAAATTGTATTATTGAAGTATGAAACTTCTGCTTTTTACTGGGTTTTTAAATTATTTAAATAATTTGAAATAAAAGAATTAATACTGTGAAAGCTTACATAGGGTACTGGAATTAAGAGGACGTTATACCCGCATGTGTTGTCTCCTTCGTGCAAGTGCGTAACATACCAAATTTTAAGCTCAGCAGATACGTTTAATTCAGTTAGCTTAAACTTTAGAGTGAATTGACCTCTTATTTAAATTAAAGGTAAGATTATTACGGAGGGCTTTTCATGGGCTTTTTATTATGTTTTAATTTTAATAAGAGGTCAATTCACTCTAATTTTTAAGCTAACTGAGCTAAACTTGATCTGCTGAACTTAAAATTTGATATGCTACGCTCTTGTAAGACGGAGACAACACATGCTTGTATCCTGTTAACTCATTAGTACATTTTGTAATAAGTAGTTAATTATTTTTAAACAGATAGACCTCATAATCCTTGTTTCGATCAGTTTTGCTATGTCTGTTTGTTTGTCATGGTGAAAGATAACAGTTAATCTTTCACTCATTTTCTCTCAATAGTAAATAAGAGCTACAAATTACAGGCATTACTCCAAAATATTTTGTGTGTATCAAAGTGTCTATCCTACTTTTGAACTCTCTTTTGCTGTTACTGATGTCACTATGATTCTATTTTTATATATTTAATGTTTTATTTGTATAACATTAAATTTGCAATATGTTAAATGTATAATGTATACAGTAACTATATTACAGTTATTTAAAATTATGTATGTTTAGGTTTATTATGCCAGTTATGCAATACTATGTGAAATCTGGAGAATTTACATTGAAGGACAAATTAAAAAATGCTATCAAAAGCAATACACTCTATTATAGTACATTATTGTTAATTGTTACAATACTTATAATCTACATTGCTCTTAAGCCAGGAGTGCATTTAGATTGGTAGGTATATAAAAGTTTTTTTACAGATATCAGGTACTATAGAATAATAAATAACAACAAAATTATGTAAATTAAAAAGGAATATAAATTAAAATAGGTAATAACTAAGTATTATATTTATAATTTTATTTAAACATAAGGTTATGAAGATATTTGAATTTAAAATTAATCAATAGTTTATATTAATTTTAATAAAATTATGATTTAAAATGAAACTATACTCTGTTCACAATAAGAAAACAACCTCGTTCGTGCATCTCCCACCTTGAGGCTGGGAATGCGCAAGAATTGATCTCTAGTTTTGGTCGCCGCCCAGTTGCATTTTTTTGTGAACAGAGTATATAAGTTATTCAAAAAATAGGTTGCTTCTATATTTATCATACAAATATTAATTTCAAATTTAATTTTCAATGGAGCCTTCAGTTTTTTTCAACTTAATTTAAATACAAATAAGGGTGATTTATACACTGTTAAATTCTGTTAAATGTTGGCTATTTCAACAATTAGAAAATTTTTTTTTCTGTTATTAGAATTATTATTAATATCAAAATATTATCATTTTTATTTCTTTTAGGCAAAAATTAAAAGCTATCGCATCATCGGCTAGCAATACATGGGGATTGTTTCTGTTAATATTATTATTAGGTATTGCATTAGTGGACATTCCAAGAGAATTATGGCGTTCTAGTCAAATTGATTATACATTGAGAAAAGTTTACTTCAAACTGTCAAAACTCAATACAGAAAAGTTAGAATCTGAAGGAGCTTTAGAAGATGTTCTTGAAGTACTTATTTACTATATATTATATTGTTTTATATAAAATACGAAAAATTAACTAAAATTTGGAATTTTTACATTAGTCAATTAAAAGTGTTAGTATCAGTATGAGTCCAAATGATGCGTTGTATGATTGTTTTCAAATCATTTTGAAAAAAGTTCCTGAGGATCAACGAGATTTTTTGAAAAATGTGCGGTCTAATTCAAGGAATCATACAACACCTCCTTCAATTGGCATGCTAACTCGACTTCATAAACAAGTAATACAAGAAAGAGATATTATATTAAAAAAAATATTAGATTAATGATAGTAATGAGCTTAATACAAGTTGAGTTTTGTTAAAATTAATAGCCTAATGTTTTGATCAAATGATGTACACAATGCTAGACCTAATTTACTGGGACACCATCGAAAATTATTGATTGGTTGTGTTGATATTAACTGATTTTGAATTAATTGTAATTTGCCTGGATTTGTTATCTTGTCACCATCAGATTCAGTTTTATATCTGTCTTCAGGATACATATATTTCCATAAGTATATTGAACCATTTCCTCCAGTAGTAGTAAATATTTCTCGATTTTGTGGTAGATGTCTGACAGTCCAAATAGTATGCTTGTGTACATTATTTTTTATGTAACCAAAACCTTTTGTAGGATGTTGAACTTTAATATCAAATACATAAAAATGTGATTCAATTGTTGTGGCTATTAGTTTATTCATTTTAATGTCTCTTCTATCAAATTCTAAACTACAAACTCCATTTGAAACATTGGTTTCCCAGCGTAATGCCATTGCTCTTAAGTCTAACATTTTTATGTCACCGTTATCATAACCAGCACAAACGATTCGTTCTTCTGAATTGTAGGCATTTCCAAATGCCACTGTCCAACAATCTCGCTTTGTAGCACCGATTGCAGTTTCCATTTTTGCAACTGGTAGTTTTTCTCTTGGATCCCATATTTTGACTGAACCGTCCTTCCCACCTTAAACAGTTAATTATTTTCATTAATGAGCAAAAATTGAATTTAAGTAAATAATAAACAATAACTATAATACAAATATTATAATGTTATTATACCTGTCACTAATTCAGGGGCTCCGCATCCAATTCCAAGCCCACCAATACCATCAATACAATAAATAAGTCCTTGGTGAGCTTTTACAGAATAGAGTGACTTGGCTGAATACTCCAAGTCCACAATTTCTAAGCCACCTTCATAGTTTCCAACTGCCAAGTGTCTTTTATTACTAGAACTTGCTTGAAAAGTAGCACATTCAATGGCAACTGATTTCTCATACTCTTGAATAGTTTGAATATCATTATCATCCAATGTATAAATATTTATAACACCTTTCAAGTTTGGTTTGCCACCAACAGCTGTGAACTTGGCTGAGTTGTGAATCCATTGACAATCTTTCAACTGATAATTTACAGACTTCTCCCTGTGAATAATAATCTGAGATTTGCTTAATGTATTCATTTTTCTAACTTATTATTACATTTGAGTAAAATATTCAAGAAGAAATTATAGTGAGTGATGTGTAAATATTGTTGCTATGGTTACTTATGAATTGTATGAGACGTCAATGAAGCACCTTTAAGTGTGTGATACAATTGCTAGTAGATATCAGATTTATTTACCTATTTTGTTATCAGACTTCAATTAAATAAATATGTATAAAAAAAATTACTATATACTTACATATAAGAATTTATATAAATATATATTGTTTTAGTTGATTGTAGCTGTGCATATGTATCATCGTACTGAGACACAGGGCAGCCTAATGCTAGAAAAAGCTATTTTCTTAGAAGATATTAATTCAAATATGACATCTAGAGAACGAAAGTTTAAAAAAATGTTCAATAAACCTTCAAAATTCAATAGTTATGCAGATACATCAACAATTGGTGAGTTAAATTTATTGATAGTTAATATTTATAATTTTTTTTTCTCTTAGTTATATTTATTTTTGAATTTATCTATGTATTATAATTATTATATATTCTATACCAAAAACAATTTCAAGCTATTCAAAATTTTATTCTAATATATTATAACTTGCTAATATAATCATATCCATATTTAATTATGTATATTTTATATATAATAGTCAATTTGTTAATTTGTAGAGTGGTATTGGTGGTGTCGTTTACATCCTATGATGCTTCAAGCTTTATCGGTGATTACTGGTATACTATCAGTTGTTATTGTGTGGTCTGAAATGACATTTTTCAAAAAGCAACCAGTGCTCTCTATTTTTGCTCTCATGGTCAATATGGCAAAACAAAACAATGATTATGTTATGATACAGGTAAAGTACAAAAAAAACTCATTTGAGATTATGTATAAGTGTTGATTTTTTATTGTCACCAAATTGTAATTTCCAGGTGTTATCTACATTGTCAATTGCTTATTTGGCATATTGTACATATTCTACAATATTTAAGATAAAATTACTTAACATATACTATCTAGCACCAAACCATCAAACCACTGAAAGCAGTTTAATTTTTTTTGGATTGTAAGTATTTTCCTGGTTGAATTTATTTGAATTGTAATCATTAAATATTACCATTGTAGGTTATTGAGTCGTCTAACATCACCAATGTGCTTAAATTTCCTTGGACTTATTCACATGGATAGTCATGTGATAAAGAGTCGTATTCTTGAAACTGATTACACTCAGGTAAAAATTTGTTATTTTATTAGAATATAGACAGTGGTTTAAGTCAGAAAAAATTTAAAGGGGTAGGTACTGAAATCACCAAAAATTGAGGAGTGTTCCAGTGTTTTTTTTTCCAAAGCTTATACTTAATTTAACTGTTTTAAGAAACTCACAAGATATAAATCTCCATAATTGTGTTTACCTTTGTTCAAAAGTTCCTTTCTTCACATTATATACTTAAGTTTTTTTTTACTTATAACTAGAAGTCGGATTTTTATGATTTTACATATTTTTTTCTAGTCTATGCAGTTTAATGGGAGTGAGAAATCTTTACGAATCATGAAACACAGAATTCACAGGAAAAAATTTATTTTGCATTAAAATGCATATTTTAGCGGTTAGAGAATATTTAACACGTTAGAGAATGTTTGAGAATATTTTTGTAATATCCGGCATATAATGAAAATATTTCCCGTGTATCAGCACTTTGATAAATACAATGTTCACATAATGATTTATCATCGAACAATATATAGTTACTAATTGTTATTGTAAAATTAATTAAATTAAATATATTTAAATCAAATTAATAAAAACTGAATTTTTTTTTTAATATTAAAAGAATATTTTGCATATTTAAGGATGTAAAATATCATATATCTGGTATTTTAAAGGAATATTAAGAGAATATATTGCTTATTTTATGGGACATAAAAACATCATATTTTAAGGATTTGAAGAGAATATAAATCTGACCTCTACTTATAACTAAGAAACTGGCTTACCTATTTTATTTTTGCTCTTATTCATTTGTACCACTTAAGGTTATTATGCTCGCAGTTTGTCATTCACTTTTTTAACTAGATATCAATAATTTTAACATTCTTTTACCTTACTTGAATTATTTTCATTTTAGATAATGGGTCATATGGATGTTATTACAATAATCAGTGATGGTTTCAATGTATACTTTCCAACTCTTATACTTGCTGTATGTTTAGCAACTTATTTCAATGTTGGAACAAGAATATTGTCCATATTAGGATTTCCTCAGTTTTTGGAAGATGATGATTTGGTTACCGATTATATTCAAGAAGGGCGTTTGCTAGTTGTTCGAGGTAGATTGTATAATACTGTACTAAAAGCTATTAGTTGATGCTCAAACTGTTAATTTTGAATTTAGAAAAAGAAAGGCGTGAACGTAAAATACGAGGCAATGAAATGCGTCGTAAATATAGAGAAAGGTCTATACCAAATACAAATGAAGATGTTGAAGAAAGTATGTATAACATAATATTACTATAGCAAAAAATGTCTATGATAATGATCAATAATGAATTATTAGGAGTTCCACCATCTCGGAAAGACAACATGAAATCATACTTGTTGGATAATGCTGATCCCATTGATCGATCCTATCATAGCTACAGTACGAATGATACTCCTGAAGTAGAAAGACAGTTGCCCAATGTGAGTACAAGACCTAACAGTACGTGGGTGCCACCAAGGAATATATTCAGTGATTTATAATTTTAGGTGAAAAAATTATTTTATATTTCTATGAAATGCATTGCCATAAATATTTTCTGTATGTTGAATTCACTGAACTGTAAATACGGAACACAGTAGAGATCAATAAACTTGTCCCACTATTGGACAGCGCCATATTGGTTTTGTTTCTATATACTGTATTATAAAACATAACGTATAGATTCATTATTACTAAGAATTTTATTTTTCTTGATATGATTTCAATGAAAATGTATCTAATGAAATTAAAATGGCGGCCTCCATGTAGAGGACACTTTATGATGCACAAATTATATGCAATGCATGTTTCATATTTACAGTTCAGTGGTTGGATTTAAATGTGTTAAGATTAAAATAATTTCTATTTTAAATGTATTATTATTTTTCTTCTGATGACAATTTAAAAACAGTTTTAATATTTACTACATATATTATACTATTAAATTATATGAAAATATCTGTTTTTAATAAAATATATTAGATTTAAAAAGAATATTGTATTTTGATGTAAGGTATAAATGGTTTTTAAATTAAGTCCAAAATTAAAGGAATTTTTTTTTATTGCAAATTTAAATAATAACACTTGAATTCTTAATTGATACTTAGAATAAATAAGAACTACAAGGTAGTTCATTATATATGTGTATTATAAAAATAGTGAAGGTATTGTGTACAAAAAGAACACTAAGCAACACTTAGAGCACAATGTCTGGTTGAAAAATGGTAGGAAATGTGTAAATCTATAATTCAAAATATGCCAATGAGTTAGTAAATAATTTGCTGAATAATATGCAAATGTATCAAGATTTTAATATTATTGTAAGATTCTACTTAGATAATTTAAGCACACGCTCAACATTTATTTTAAAGGTGTACATGTGTAATCGAGCAATATAAAAGCTATATAAATTGTTAATGATAATATTTTACTAACAAATTTGACAATTCTAGTACACATAAATTAGTAATAAATTAATATTAGTAATGATATTTTATTATTTGGATATAGTTGGATAGATTCTATAAGTTTATATTTTAGATTCTGAGCGGAGCGATGAATGTATTGATTTTACAATTATGTGTGTTTTTAGACATACATTTTTTTTGTGTCTATCATCATGGTTTCTTCAGTAAAAGTGCTTAGGTTTCCTTCAACAGCAACTTTTCTGATAGGAAAGTGAATCAAGTTGGTGCATTCGGGAAGTCTACATTTAAAATTCTCAATAGTTTACAAAAGCAACAGGAAAAACGGGGATTTTTAAGCAAAACCGTTTTTCGAAAAAATCGATTTTGGTTTTTAGTGTAACTGACAAAAATGACCATAGGTAGATGCAATTTTCGCTGAATATTTGTGTAAGCATTTTCTGTACACCATAATATTTTCAAAATATTTTGATTTGCGTTTAACTATTTTTAGGTGTATGAAATTTTCAATTATTATTTGTTTTTTTTTTGAACTCAAGTCGATATAATAATTTTTTATGCGAGTTTAAACATAGAATTTTGACAAAATTCGTAAAAATCATGATAATTAGCAAATTAAATTTTGTTAGAAATACATAACAATTTTTCTATTTATATCAAAGATTTAAAAATTGAATACAAGATTTATTACAAGTTTGTCAAAAAAAATTTTTACCGGAAAGTCAAATTAAATTTTTATGAGCGGTTAAAGTTGAAATTTTGACAACATTGGATATTCACTCGATTTCTCTTATAGTGATTTTCTTATTTTGTTGTAATTCAAAAACGAATTACTGTAGACATTTGAAGTTTACCCCAAATGTTTATTTCATCAATTCATATACTTGATACAATTTTCGAAATATTTTGACTCGTTATAAGCTGTTGACGGACATTTTCAATTTTCATTATTTTTTGCTAAAAATGACTATACAATATTATTGGTTGGGTCAAAAAGCATGAAAATTGAATATACTAGAAACTTGATAACTTGTTACAATAGCAGTTGAAAAATATTAAAAATACATTAAGGCACGATTTTTTTTTACAAGCATTTAAACTTCAAATTTCGACAATATTTATCAAATTAAAAATTATTTTGTAATTAAAAATTTATAAAATGTTCAATTTTTATAGCTAAGGATTGAAAATTTAAAACAAGGTTCCACTTAAGCAGTTTTTGCAATAACTAAGAAATCTAAAAAATATATGAATACAGACAATAGGGTCAGTATACAGGTTCAAATTTGGACAAAATTGCATATCAACCCAAAGAATAACGTTTATCATTCTGTTGTGATTCGGTTCCAAAACAGCCCATTTGTACATAGGTGTATTTAATATTTTCCCAGCATCACTGATAATTTAAGAATAATATTAATTCAACTTACCGGCTACCATATTAATAATAAGTAATAACTATAAAATATTCTTAACTGACGTACCGTCTCCGCTCAGAATGGTTTTTCGTAGATAATGATAATATGATATCATTGAATTCAAATGTAATACCATCAATTACAGCGACCTCTTAGACACCTAATGTGCAGCAG